AATAACAACAACAACAATAATAATAGAAAAGTCAGCCATGTGACAGATTTCCATAATCCTAAAACCCAGATTACTGTGCCAGGATGATAGCAATTTCTTACTTTAAAAAAATTATAAACTTTATTGTTAGAAAAAAGTCTTGGAAATAAATAAAAATATCACACACCACAATTAACAAGACTTGAAATCTATACAACTCAATAAACGTCTATGCAGTTAAAATAGGCCTTTGGAACACCAGCTGTGGAAATTTACATTAAATTTTATACTTTCGGTATCAAGTATGCTTTATGCACTCACCTACCATCAAAAACAAAATATCCATGACAGAGTTGGGAAACATCCAGCTTTGTATCCTCGTTCATTACTCTTCTCCATTATCTGCATTCAACCCTGCATTCAGGGTAGCAATTTCAAAGCTAGCCTGGATTATATAGCAAGTTCTACGTGAACATGCAGTATGTAGCAAGACCCCATCTCACAAAAAAATGCATAGATGTATATACACATATATTTATATATACTTATGTTTACACGAATATTTTAAGGTAAATTTTGGACATTGGGTATTTTTGAAATGTATAAAAGTGTTTGTCTAAGAAAATGCCAGAGTAGCCGGGCGGTGGTGGCGCACGCCTTTAATCCCAGCACTTGGGAGGCAGAGCCAGGCGGATCTCTGTGAGTTCGAGGCCAGCCTGGGCTACCAAGTGAGCTCCAGGAAAGGCGCAAAGCTACGCAGAGAAACCCTGTCTTGAAAAACCAAAAAAAAAAAAGAAAAAAAAAGAAAATGCCAGAGTTATCAAACTTAGGATCACTTATTTTTATAATAGATTGCCATTTTTTATTTTAAGAACAAGTAGGTAGAAAGAAACATAAGCAAAATGGCACAATTGTTCTTAAGATCCAGGACCCATGGGAATCTTAATTTGGTCCCAAGTGCAAGGAAAACAATGCTACTTCCCAATCTCTATGTCGTTAGAAACCAAAACAACACTTTGTCATGAAATAAATGCATAATAGTCTAGCGAAAGTCTGACTTCCTCTTGGCAATGCCTCTGTGTTTCTGTGACTTATCAAAAAGCTCAGATTTTTCTCCAAAATATATTAGTGGCATCTTTTGTTCTTTTAGAAAATTCCCTATATACACTCAACCTGTTTGTAGAACCAGTATCATCAAAAGCAAATTAGAGTGCCTGGAATATTCAAATCTAAATCCAAATAAAATGAACCATACAACAGTGCAGATTTAATGTATTTTATATTATAAGTCAAATCTTCAAGTTAATTTATTAAATTTTCTAACATGAAATTCTGGCTCCTAAGATTTGGCATGTAACCCCTGTTTGATAATTTCCCTAACACAAACTTGGGCAAGTTTAGCTTCCCTCAATCATTTTCACTTATTAAAAACAATCAAAAGGACAACAAAAAGAACCTTTGCCGACACAATAAACTATTGACATTTAAAATTAAAGTGACTTTGAGAAGTATGAAAGATTATACACACTTAAGGTGTATTGGTAATATGAGTAGTAACTGTACTGTTTCATCATTAACTGCTTCACGTGTGTGTATCTTATATCCTCCAAGGAAATTCTATGTTGCTAGTATATGCAAATTCTGCTAATCAGATAAGAGCTCTACAAATAGTTGTTAGTAAATTGATTAATTCACTCTGTTTGAAAAAAAACATTTTAATTAATGGAAAAATAAAGGCAAATGTAAATGGGGGGAGTAACTGATCTGTCTAAATGAAAACCAAGTATAAATCTAGTTTATTTACTTCAATGCTATCTAATACTGAAACTTCCAAGATAAATTTTATTTTATTTTAGGCTCTTATTTTAAGAAAATAAAGAACATTAAACTTTGTATGAATTAATGAAAACAGGAAATAATTTTTACTATCTAAATATGAACATTCAGCCACCCAGAAGAAGACTTACAGTGTGAAATCAAAATTATAGATGTTCTGAGGTCATTAGAAGAGACTGCAACATCACTTGATAAAGCAGTAAACTAAATGCGTATTTCAGTTATATCAAGTTTTAATAAAGGCTTACATGACAATAAAAATATTTAACTCTAACATTTCAACAAGAGTGGTAATTTCAAGATTCTTTTTGAGCAAAAGGCAATTAACTTTTCCATACTCCCTTTAAACACACCTTGAACCAATAAACTGTACATAGTATTCATACAATTTTTTTTCTAACACCAACTTGATAGTCTTTAATTATTTTGTATCTAGACCCCACTAAGAAATATAGAAATATAAGAAACAGAGAATCAGTTTAATACAATCCTTTGGCATTACTCTGCGTGAAGTTGCTGGTAAGGAAAGACGCAGGTGAATCCCTACATCCTGTCAAGACCACATTAAAAAAAATCCAGATAGACGACCAATCACTTTCTTTTAAAGTATCCAGATTTGGCAATTAGAAACACATTACAAAATGGAGTCTAAGCCACAAATGTCAAAGTATCCAATGTCAAACAGCTTATCTGAATTATTCCAAGGACAATTTATTCTAGTAAGCTATTCATTCTTTTAGGAAGAAGTCTAGTCCATCCCAGAGAAGTGCATATCTAGACCATAAACTGGTAGCCTTGATGACTGAAGAGCACACAAGGCTATCCACACTTATTGTGAAGAACTTTCTGTGAAGTTGAAGCCGACTGATTATATTCTAGGTTCTAAAATGCAGCAATTGTCAACGTCGTACATAAAAGCAGAAGCTTATATGAAACAATTGATGGCCATGTCTCAATTTCTTCTCCAGCAGATTAAATAATCCTAGTCCATTTGCCCTTCTACAGAGAGACAGGGTCTGGCCCTATAACTGAGTCTACCAACAGTGAGTTTTCTAAGCCATGACCTACAGTGATGTACTTCTGTTAAAACTGTACCAACTTTATCCATAAACCACATCCAAATTAGGTAGAAATGAAATAAACCAAAAGCGCCAGGATACCTGCTTTCCATTTATGAAACAGGTCCAGCTATTACATGTTTTAACTTTTATAAGTTTACTGTAGACATTTGAAATTTTATTTTAGGAATTCAAAATTTCTCTTTAATAATACCCTGTAAAATGTGCTATAATTTTTTTTGCAATGACATACAAGCCCAGTACCTCCTTCCTTGACCTACTTTATATAGTTCTTATAATTAGGCACATGGTAGCAAGAGTTTAGACTTGTGAATACATATAATACATGAGCATATTAAATTGAGTCACTAGCATCTTTCCTACTTATAAACCAAATAAAACAATTCTCAGGAAAATAAAACTAAAATCCCAATGACATAAAAATGATAAATTAGAGGTAAGTGTGCAAAATAAAATGAAAGATTAAGATGAAAAGAATCTATTATTTTGCATTGTAAGATACATTCTCAATGGCAGCGATGGTGGGAAGGTTGGTAGATACAATACATGTATTTGATGCATGTAATATTACTAATACACTTTTACCTGAAAGGATTTTTCTGGCTTTAGTTCAATGAAATCCATTATCCTAGGTGGTAATGGAGCCCTGTATGTTCCAGTCTCAGGCATCTTTAGTCTCCTGAGCTGCCTTAAATCCTTAGCATAGTAAAAGGTCAAGCAGATACCAGTAAGCATGTATAAACTACAATTGCCCCCATTTCAGTTACAAGCCACATCTTCCTGCCAAGCTTTGCCTGCTCTCGTCCATTTCATTGTATGAGCAGGCTAATTCGGAAATGGCTAGCCTGGGGTCCTTGAGAACACTTAGGTTTTTAAAACCATGCTACTTCCCTACTTAATCACTTATAGGAGACATACAAGGACAGAACATTAGAGAGAGCTATAAAATGGTGGTGGGTACTGAAGGAATGAGCAACAAATATCAACACAATTAAACAGAGCGAATGCTTCTCACCTGCCAGTTCAACTGTGCTCACTGGGGCACACCACACAGATTTGAAAAGGATAGGTCAGGATGTCAAGAAAGCCGATTCAACATTTATTTGAGAAGAAGCAATATGCTAAGTAATATTCCAAGCCACCTCCCTTTCCCATTATTGTTAATTCGGGGCCCTCAACATAGGCTCACAAACCCAATTAAAAATAGCCAGACTATGAATTGGCATCTAGTTCTCTAACACAGAGCAAACGATAGGCATCTGTCCTAATTGGCCAGAACGAACCTAAGGGACAATAAGAAGAATAAATGTCAAATTAATCCAAATGAAGCCAATGAATAATAATACAAACCAGAAGCATGGTTCCTAAAACATGCCATTACTTCCAAGAATGCAAAGGCATAAATAACCCATAAAAAACGATAGTAAATCAAGCATGCTATGCATATAAATACACTCCATAAATGCTACACACCTGCAAAGTAACATGTGCACATACATATTGTATGTATGTAGATGTGTATGTTCACATATACATAAATATACATCCTGAAAAAGGAACTCTGGATCTCAGAAATGGTTCTTCAACAAGAATATGTTAAAGTATGAATCAGAGAATGCCTAATTCTGGGACTACCTTAGCACTGGGGCAAATAAGCAAAAATCACCTTATAATTAGGCCAACAAGGTTGAGAAACCAAATGTGTTTTTGAGGGAAGGCCCAACCCTGTTTGTGAGACCTGCAAATGAACGGTTGCTTTCAACTCCATCCTCTTCTTGCTAGCTCCTTTCCACCCCCTGATTTTGTTGCTAAGCTTGAGGGGAAAGGAATCTGGTGGTTCAGTTGGTATTCGGAGCCAGTTTGTGATTAAAAAAAAAAAAAAGATCAAAACATCATTTTCCCCCCTAAAACACAAGAGGATGCCTCTCACTTCTCTCCTCCAGCAACCTTGTTCTCTCTCCATCCTCATCTCTGTCTCCACACCCCCAGCCCCCCCTCCTAGTCTGAGAGACGCGAGTCATTGTTTAAGTCTAGGCCACAAATATATACACAAGTCATTTAATAACCAGATAGATGAGGAAGGTAGCCCCTTGGCCTCCTACTCACCATGCTGAGACCAGGAGAAGATGCTGGAAGGAGGGAGGGCTACAAACTGAATCCATTTTCCTTGTGACCGCGTCGGATGCAGCCTCGGAAGCCAACATCAGCAGCCGCTGCTGGGATTTTTTTTTCTCCCCTCCCTCTCTGGTTGGCGATGGTGCGATAGGAACCACCCTTTCCAGCTCCACTAGAGTACCAGCAGTAGAGGCGGCGGCGGCGGCAGCAGCAGCATCACTTGAGCCTCCTCCCTCTCGGAGGATGGTGTGAGCTCAGAATCAGCCAGGAACTTGCAGCAGACACCTCCTTAGGCTCCTCCTATCCTCCCCCACCCCCACAGCCCCACCCCTGCTGCGGTAGAGGCAGCCGGCCTGGCAGCTGCTGGTTGCCATGGCAATGGCCAATTGCAAGTGGCAAGCTAAGGGGGAGGGGAGAGGAAGCTAGGCAAGCTGCAGGGGCTGGAGTAAAACTCAGTCTCTGTCTCTGAGATGCTCTTGGTCTCTCCTAACGTAAGCTTCAGGTAGTCTGAGAGGCGCCAAGGGTGCAAAAGGCACCGGGAAAAAACAGCTAAAGTTGAATTTAAGTTATACATTGAAATACACCAAACAGTTTAGCATGCGTTTGTATTTTCTACGTTTTAGATGAAATATATTACATTTTTCTATTGGAAAAAAACATAAATGATATTATGTGGGGTGATGGGAGACTGTTACCACGCCAAAGTTCTGCATCCTTTGCTCAATGCCACTCAAGGTTGTTAAAACAAAACAAAACTGCTGGACCTTGCAATACACCAGGTGCCGTTACATTCTTTTACGTGCGTTCCAGTTTGTTCTCAGGTCATTTGGTTTCGCCGTTTTTCCAACTTGTCTCCTGAAAAGGACCTGGCGATATTGACCGCCTCCCCACCTCCCCCCGAAGAAAAGGAAGTTAGAGCAAAACAAACCGGAAATACCTTTGAACAGCCGAGGTTCTCGGCAGCACTAGACACTGGACAGTTCCAAACCTATCTGGCTTCAGACTCCTCGAGCGAACATAATAGGCAAGCAATTCGTGCTATTTTCATGGGTGCCCTTTAGGAGTTTGGAAGCCAGCTGGCAGTCAGGGTAGTAGGTAGGAGAAAAGCAAGGGAATTTGCAGTGTTGTGTTCTGTTTCTAACCATAAATTATAGATGACACTAGAATTTGTCTCAGGCAGTAGTTGTAAAGATTGATTGAGATAATGCACTAAAAGCCCTTGGCGTGTAGTAAGCATACAGTAAATATTTACTATTATTAGTGAGAGTTGTGGAGCGGTAACCTGCAGACACCACTTAATCTAAAAGCTTTAAGGAAAGGGTATAATAATTCCAGGTAGGGAGAAGATACTAAATATATGATAGCTGCAATGGCTGATGATGGTGGTGGTGGT